ATCCTCAAGCCTCGCGCTTATTTATAATGCTAGCATCAGTAATGGCGTTTTTCCTGCTGCCTTTAAAATAGCCAAAGTATTACCACTGCACAAGAGAGACTCAACACAAGAGAGGGGTAATTACCGTCCCATATCTGTTCTACCTATACTCTCTAAACTGCTAGAAAGACACATTGCTTCTACCTACTTACAGCATCTAACTTCGAACAATCTATTATATAATAACCAGTCCGCTCACCGCCCATATCACTCATGTGAAACTGCTCTGCTTAATATTTCTGACAACTGGTTGAAAGCTTTGGACAACAGTGAACTCGTTGGTGCTGTCTTTTTGGACCTGAGTAAGGCCTTCGATTTAGTCACCCATGCCATCTTACTTGCAAAACTTGATAAATATCACTCTGGTACAAATGCCACGAACTGGTTCAGATCATATTTAACAGGCCGCACACAGGTTGTATCTGTCTCTGGTGTGTTATCCAGCCCTTCAAATCTTGATGTCGTGGTACCACAAGGTTCCATCTTAGGACAACTTTTGTTTTCTACCTATATGAATGATCTACCCCTCTTGTTAAAGAACACTGAAGTCGACATTTATGCCGACGACACTACGATCTGGTCAAGCGGAACTGACTGTACAGATATTCAAAATACTCTGAATGATAGTCTAGACAAGACCAACAGTTGATTTAAACTGAACCGAATGATACCAAACACAAAAAAGACCAAACACCTGCCAATTGATTCTTTACAAAAGCTAAACCATAGTAGTGAGACCACAATGGAAATTCATATCGGTGGCATCAGGCTGGGAGAGGCAGCGGGAGAGAGGCTTGGAGTCGTCATTGACCAAAATCTTTCTTGGAACTTACATCTTTTACGTTTGATTAAAAAATTGAACTCTAGAATTTGTCTTCTTAAAAGAGCTAAAGTTTATTTAACCTTGGCTTGCAGAAAAATGTTATATACTGCTCTAATCAAGCCAATTCTAGAGTATTGTTGCACGGTCTGGGGTAATTGTATCGTTGGGAATCTTCAAAGAGTTTTAAGACTACAGAAACGATGTGTTAGGCTAAGTTTGGACGCCGATACTCATGAAAACTCTGCCAAGCTTTTTAACAAACTAGATTGGCTGCCTATAGACGATATTATACGTATTAGGAAGCTTTATATGCTTCATAAAATAAATCAAGGACATTGCCCCGCTTATTTTAATAAATACATCGAATATATAAGCAATGCCTCTAATCATAACACGAGGTCAGTTTCCAATAACAATATAACGACACCAGCCTGTTAAAGGAACTCTGGCCTCAGAGCGTTTCACTCAAGCGCTTGTCGTTTGTGGAACACTCTTCATCCAAAACTTAGGTCACTCTCCCATACAAATTTTAAAAATTACTTATTTAAACTCTAACGTACTAAGAATTCCTTTATTGATAATTTTAAGATTTGTAAAACCTTCTAATTTTATTTGTAGTTAATTAATTAATATCGTTATATTTTTTAGTTGTTAATTATATAAATTTAGTTGGTAGATTATTCTGATAGTTAATTAATTTGATTGATACGTTTTATTACTTTTAATTGTAGGAGGGCCATTATGAAAACTACTGGGTGACCAGTAATCGATGTGTTTTACCCTCGTTAAATAAAGTTTTCTTCCCTGAGTAATCAATGTGTTTTACCCTCGTTAAATAAAGTTTTCTTCCCTGAGTAATCAATGTGTTTTACCCTCGTTAAATAAAGTTTTCTTCCCCTTCTTCTTCTTCTTCTTCTTCTTCTTCTTCTTCTTCTTCTGTAATTTGAAGGCAATAATGCGACACGACTACAAAAGCCATATGGTGAGTCCGTGCCGGTCTGTCTATACTTTTGTTCTTACTCGTTTCGTCAATGTGAGGTTGATTAACNTTGTTGAGGGTTCCCAGCCATCTCGCTAAGTTGGATAGTCTTTGAATAAAGCCCTGTTTCGGGATCTGCGTCTTTAAAGTGCGCTACAAGCTTGTGGGTTGTTCCATATCTTAGTTCGCAGATGATGGAAGAGGTGCCAAGAAAGTTGTCAGGGGGTAGTTGTTCCCCAAGAATCAGACTCAGCAACAAGCTCTTTTTCCAATCTCTTTCACCTGTCGAGAAGAATCCCCAAGTCAAAGAACGATATGAACCAATTAATAAGCTGTTTTTAAATTTCCACTCTCTTAAATCAGTCCCGTTAAATTTTTAAATTGTTAATTTCTCATGATCATGCAAAACAGGTTCTTATGAAAAAAAAAATCGTTTTTACCAGCCATGCCGGAATGTCAAGATTCTTGACATTAAAGCGGAAAGTGTCTTCAGCCTTGCTCGTCCTGAGACAAAGGAAGCACGTTTGGAAAAAAAAGTAATACTTTACCAAAAAGAAAAAAACTCGAAACATGGAAGCCAAGTTAACGTATCTCTCTCTCATGTAAAGAGTATGATACATGCAATGGTCCGTAATGGGAAAAACTCCTCATCCATGCACTTTTAATTCGAGAGTTTTTACCAGTTTTAGAAATCATGGTACGTACATTTTGAAAGACAACATGTTTTGTGATCAAGATGAGTTCATTCAATTGCAACAAGAAAACAAACACAACCAAAACAACAATATCATGCATGTTTCTTTCTTTTAAGTATGGCGTCTGCGTTGCAAACGAACGACATCAATGTGTTAATCGTTCGGGAAAAGTGAATATACATCTCAGTTACTCTGCCAAGGTATCGCCACAGCTGAGGGATTTGACTTGTTGGCGGTTTTTAGCAATCAGTCTGAAAGTTGTTCTGTCTGCCAGGTGGGTTTAGCAAACTTCTAAGTTATGACGAATGAGGAGATGAGTATGGAAAAAAGCTGCGTAAAGTCTGTTGATGGTGGCTGGAAGTGAATGCAGCAGCTGGCAGGAAACTTGTTTAACCTAGCTAGCTACGACATTTACACGCGCATGCTTTACCTTCTAATTAATCACGAGCTCTCGAACATTTCTTCAGTAACCAACCTGCAATGAGAACAACGTCTTCTCCTCTCTCTAGGCTCTCTTTGTGGTCAGCCAATTGGTTCTTGAGATTTGTGATTCCCAGCTCCAGAAGTGCGTAGTCCTTGTCACTCAACATATTCAGACAGGCCTCTGTGCTCTCGAATAGTTCTAGCAAGCGTATTTGTCTTCTCTTGACTTCTTCACTGGTCTCTGTCAACACTGAAAAGGCCTGATAAGTGAAACATGGAATGGTTACCTTGCTTTACAAAAATATCATCAAGGGCAATAAAATCTAGTTTCGCTTAACTTAATAGGGTTCTTTGTCAGTCATTTAGAATTAGATAAAAATTAATTAAATGTGGTGGTATCTTTGGTAAAAAGGCATATTAGGTGTGTTGACTTGATCAGGCTAACTTCGAATCAACTCTTTCTTTCATGCACAGTTCATTCTACGGTCAAACCTGCATGTATTGGTGGTCACCCATGGGTAATGGCGGGGTGACTGTAGAATACAGGTTGACTGCTTAATACAGGTTGGCCAGCAAATGATTAGCGTGATGTT